CGGCGCGCAGCTGCGAACACCCGGACGATACAGGCTCAGGTTGTTTATGTCAGTTTATTCTATGCGTCTATTTGTTACCTTTGATGCGGGGTGTATGTTCCTGTTTATAATCTGTAGTTCCCGTATATGTACATATATGCATGACGAAAAGCCATGGCGTTATATGCCAATTGCATCTCAATAAAATAACTTTTTTAAAAAGACTCTTTTCGCCAAAACCGGTTTGGCTCAGTGGATAGAGCGTCGGTCTGTGGACTGAAAGGTCCCAGGTTCGATTCCGGTTAAGGGCATGTACCTGGGTTGCGGGCACATCCCCAGTAGGAGATGTGCAGGAGGCAGCTGCTGCTGAACTCTAACATGGCTTCCTGACAGGAGGTACCAGCAATAAATACTGCATTGCTCTTCTTCTTCTTATATATATTTTTACTTATTTCAGAGAGCAGAGAGATATAAACATTGATGCGAGAGAAACATCCATCAGCTGTCTCCTGCACACCTCCCACTGGGGATGTGCCCGCAACCAAGGCACATGCCCTTGACCGGAATCGAACCTGGGACCCTTCAGTCCGCAGGCCGACGCTCTATCCACTGAGCCAAACCAGCCACGGCTAAAAAAACTCTTTTCTGCTATTTCCTAACTTGGAGATGGTTACACTTCTTTAAATTGTAAGTTTAAGGCAGAGAATAAGTAACAGCCATGGAAAAATACTGCAGGAGAATGCCCGGGCACAAGCTCTACAGAGAGTGTTACCTGGAGGTGCCTTGGGCATGTTTCCTTTATTTCTGTGAATACGGCCACTTGGCCACTTGCTGAAACCCCACAAGTATGTCAGAGTTTTCCAGTCGGAGGGCTTGGCCTTTTCCCAGCGCCATGTCGCCTTGCATTTTTCTTTTTTTCTTCTTTTTTTAATGTTTTTATTGATTTTAAAATAAAATCAATCACCCAACTGGTGATGTACCCGCAACCAAGGTACATGCCCTTGACTAGAATCAAACCCAGGACCCTTCAGTCCGCAGGCTGACGCTCTATCCACTGAGCCAAACCGGTTAGGGCTCGCCTTGCATTTTTCATATTTCAGATATTTTTTCAAGAATTTGAAAGACCTTAAAACATAGCAATACTTTAAAAAATGTGAAGCCTTTTAAGTTACTGACAAAGAACTAGCACGGTCAGATGGCATCCAGCAATTTTATTGGACACCTCCGCTTCAGTAAAAGGCTGTTACTCAGTTTAATTGGGTTTTTCAAACCTGCATGGAGACTTCACTTAGAAAAACTATTCATAGTATTATCCTGAGAGTCTCTGCATAAATACAGCAGCCTGTGTAGGCGGCTGCACTGTGGGCACTGAAGAATAACAACTTACTTAGCTCTCCTGCTAACAGCCACTTTCATAATCACTGATACATTGTATCCTCACTGCCATCCTGTGACAGCCTCTCTCACAATCACTGATACATTGTATCCTCACCGCCATCCTGTGACAATCTCTCTCACAATCACTGATACATTGTATCCTCACAGCCACCCTGTGACAACCTCTCTCACAGTCACTGATACATTATATCCTCACCACCATCCTGTGACAACCTCTTTCAGTCACTGATACATTGTATCCTCACCACCATTCCTGTGACAGCCTCTCTCACAGTCACTGATACATTGTATCCTCACCA